ACAGCAAAACTTCCTCGCAAACGAGCAAATCGCTGAATACCACTGCTATACAGAAATACCTTTATCTGAACTGTCCGCGACTGAGCATACACGTTGCTGCAAAAATCAGCACATTTTGCGATATATTATATTTGATCATTTAGTAAATATTTGTTGACGACAGTGTTATATCAATTTCCAGTATTATCCGTAAATAAAAATTAGCAAAAAGAGGAAGCAGAAATTAAATACTGAACCAAGTTTATAAAGAACCGGAAGAGCATCTTAGTATTAATCATAAGTTGCAAAATTTAAAATTTTAACAGTGGAGAATTATAAATAAATATATATATGTATAAGAGAGAAATGGAGGAAAGAAAATGACACTTCAACTTCTGCACTCTTTCTTCCCATAGGTTATAACATTGATAAACCGTATCAATAAACAGGGAACAACTATTCTTTAGTAGAATTTAGTCAGCTTTAGTTTGGTCAGTTAGTGAAATTATATGCAGTGGGTGAAAGGAAAAAAAAATAACAGAAAAATAGACAAAATTACATAATTGTATCAAATACATTTTGTTAGCAGTGAAAAAAAAGACGAAAAATGGAGAAGAAAAGTAGATTTAGATTCTGGCAGATTGCTAAGACAATTATTTCTGATTGTTATATGGAAAAATATTTGTATGTTATTTTGTTTTCCGTTCCTTTTTGATGTCAATTACCAGCAATTTATTTGTGAAGATGTCATAAAACAAAGGGTTTTTACAAGTTTCAGTAAAGATTTAGCAAGTGTTCTTCTGCTGTATTAGTTCTTCGTTTGTTTGTTTGTTGCTCAAATAACTATTTATTTGATCTTCTAAAATTACTCTATAAATTTATTTCTTTTTGGACATTCTGACATATACACAAAGCAAATTATATAAATAAATAACAGAACAAAAACAGAGTGAGAAGTTGTTTCTTCTGCCTAATTATCTTTCCTTCCAATTAACATCCGGGTATTGACAATTCCTTTTCTTTACTGTCTCTTTTTTTCTGTTGTTTCACACTTGTTCGTACCCTGGCGGAACTAATAGTGAGATAACAAGTACCTATTAATAACATATTAGACAATCATACAAGTAATAAAATGACAGAAACGGGTAAACAACTGCAAAAGTTCAGCTGAGTTCACCAAAAATAGGTGCGGGTTGTAATTTGCAAAGTAGCGATAAATGGGAGGAGAAGGAGGGAGCAGTTATAATCAGAATATACTTTATTAATTAGCATCACTAAATATTTGAACAGAAAAAACAGAGTTTGATTTAAGAATAGAAAAAAAGTTTAGTAGAATAACTATGAATGGCTTAATTACAGGTCACTACATAGACTAGCAGTGGTTTGGACAAATCCTAGTCAATGCCCGCAGAGTCAAAATGAACGAAAAATTTTTGGGCTAGTTGGAGCTCAGGTGATACAAAAATTACTTGACGTTTTTTTCTATCGTTTGGCTTCTTTTTTTTTTTTTTTTTTTTTTTTT